GTTATGCATCTAAGCTACTGTGCCGAGTAGCAACCTTGTAAATAAGCTACTGTGCCGAGTAGCAACCTTGTAAATAAGCTACTGTGCCGAGTAGCATTTATATATAAAATTACGTGGCAACACTGCACGTGTTATGTGGCAACATTGCCCCGAGGCCGCCATATGGCAAGGCAGTCTCAGTCTGACTGTGTGAGCCTTGCATGGCACATGCTAGTCACCACTTGTATTTCTCCTGTCCCTTAATAAACGGACTTCAGTGTTACCCGGTGTTTCCCTACCCATCACTGCATTCCTCAGGGAACACTAGTAACCATCAATTATAACAACCACGACCATGATTATAACAACCAAGACCATGATTATAACAACCACGACCATGATTAAAACAAACTCGACCATGATTATAACAACCACGACCATGATTATAACAACCGAGACCATGATTATAGCAACCACGACCATGATTATATCAACCAAGAATATGATTATATCAACCACGACCATGATTATAACAACCACGAATAGTATTATAACAACCACGACCATGATTATAACAACCACAACCATGATTATAACAACCACGACCATGATTATAACAACCACGACTATGATTATAACAACCACGACCAAGATTATAACAACTACGAATATGATTATAACAACCACGACCATGATTATAACAACCAAGGCTATGGTTATAACAACCACAAATATGATTATAATATCCACGACTATGATCATAACCACGACTATGATTATAACAAGCACGACCATGAATAAAACAAGCACGGCCATCATTATAACAACCACGCCCATGATTATAGCAACCACGACCATGATTATAACAACCACGACCATGATTATAACAACCACGACTATGATTATAACAACCACGACTATGATTATAACAACCACGACTATGATCATAACAACCACGACCATGGTTATGATTATAACAACGACTACGACACGATTTATAACAACCACGACCATGATTATAACAACCACGACTATGATTATAACAACCACGACCATGATTATAACAACCACGACCATGATTATAACAACCACGACTATGATTATAACAACCACGACTATGATCATAACAACCACGACCATGGTTATAACAACCACGACCATGAATATAACAAGCAGGACCATGTATATAACAACCACGAATATGATTATAACTACCACGCCCATGATTATAACAACCACGACTATGATCATAACAACCACGACTATGATCATAACAACCACGACCATGGTTATAACAACCACGACCATGATTATAAAACAACCACGACCATGATTATAACAACCACGATCATGATTATAACAACCATGACCATGATCATAACTACGACCATGATTATATCACCCACAACCATGATTATAACAACCACGACCATGATTATAACAACCACGACTATGATTACAATAACCACAACCATCATTATAACAACCACGACTATGATTATAACAACCACGACCATGATTATAGCAACCACGACCCTGCTTATAACAACCACGACCATGATTATATCACCCACAACCATGATTATAACAACCACGACCATGATTATAACAACCACGTCTATGATTATAATAACCACAACCATCATTATAACAACCACGACTATGATTATAACAACCACGACCATGATTATAACAACCACGACCATGCTTATAACAACCACGACCATGATTATAACAACCACGACAATGATTATAACAACCACGTCCATGATTTTAACAACCTCGGTAAACTGTACCACCGGACTCGCCACCGGGATCGAAGGGCCCACGATCACGTGTTACAAACTATAGATCATGTGCAGATCGGGGATCGAGTCCTAGATCTCTCCGGGTGAACAGGGATCGCTTATTAAATAATGAACTTAGTAATTGGATCACAGTTAGATAAGGCTGAGTTCTATTTCCAACATTGTATAATGCATATCTAAAATTCTTAATGAGAGAAATTATAAGTGATAATGAAGGACTAAAAGTTAATGGCAAATTAATCTCAAATATACTCTATGCAGATGATACTGCTCTTATCTTAAATAGTGAAGAGCCACTACAAACGAGACACTACAAAAACTCGTTAACAGATTAGTGGGAAAAGGTGAAAAATATAGTTTAAGAGTTAATGCTGTATAGACTACAGTAATGGTTATTTCAAAATTGGAAATAAATCACAAAATAAAAATTTTGTTGGGCAACAAGGAACTTAAACAAGTGGAAAAGTTGGTGTATTTTGGAAGTCACATTAGTGGTGATGGTAGACGTACGGATGAAAAAACGAGAATAGGGCAAGCAAAAACAGCATTTAATAACACTGCCAAACAAAATTTAACTATTCTGACCCCGTTTTGAGTACTGATTACAAATGTGTGCTTATTTTTTTCAGCACGCCTATTTTTCGAAATATGACTGTTTTAATGTTTTATTTTATTTTAACAAGATTTAGTACGTAATAAATCACAATTAGTATAATCAATCATAATTTAATACTAATAAGCACACCACACACTCATAATTTTATACTGCAATGCCCATCATGCACTTAAGTTAAATACCTATAGAACAGACTTATAAAAAAATGTACAAGAACTTAAAACCGTTGTAAACTTTGTCCGGTTTGTCGCTGAACAACGTCCAGTATTAGTTTACCACTATTCTGTACTTTAATCATAGAAACCTTGGTAGCAATTTTCCATTGCCTAAATGTCTTGATGGAAACTTTTCCCCTGCTTTTCCCAAGACTTTAGGGGAAGCAACATAGATGTGAATGTATAAAATGTATTTTCAAGGACACGCGACACCTCATTTCTTTATATGCATTGAGCAGTTTTGGTTTCCATCTCTGTATGCAGGAGACTTGTAATTACCCAAAAAGTCTTCATATATTCATTTGAAAGTCTGCCATTCTTTTAATTCTAATACATTCAAAGCCACCATTCTTTAGAACCTTCCTAATATGTGACACTAACTTTTGGAAATTTCTCAACAAGGTAATGAAACCCTCTTCAATTCGCCTTAACCATAGCTTTGACAAAATGTTCAATAAAACCGAACTTAATGTGGAAAGGTGGCAGGAAAATCTTCTTTGGATCAACTAAATGAACACAATGAACACTGCCCGTTCCTGGCTCGTATGTGGTTCTTTGTTGCCACTCACATCTGATGTAATGATCCGCAGTAGCCCGGCTTTCCCATAGACATAGGAAACAAGAGTATTTCCTGCATGCCCATTAATATACATGTCAGTTGTCACGGGACTTTCAGACCGAGAGGAAGGGCTCATGGAAACTCGTCGTGTAAAAATTACATATATTACACTATTTACATTCACAGAGCAAGTTTTCGTGTCCAAATATATCTAACTACTTTATGCACAACTCGGCGGCCATCTTGTACCCCACGTCGACGTGTGTTCCTGGTTCTCTGTGCTGTCCGGTTCAGTCGGCGGCTCACGCTGCTCTGCCGTGAGCATCACCACCACCGCACGAATATGGCTCGGTTGCCAACTAAACCTAATACAATACATTAAAAGTTTTACACCTCATGCCCTATAAAACAGAATATGGCTCTTACATAATGTTTTAACAGCCAAAACTAAATTACACTGATATAAAAAAAACATGGTAAATCAAAACATTAGAAAATTTATATAAACATACAGGACATTGGTAGTTTCGGGTATCACCTAATTAGCCAATCATAGACAGCGGTGTGGGCCGACATGTGACAATACCAATGACTTTGAGTTCACCACAGAGTTATGTACTTTAACTATAGAAAGCCAAAAACCTTAAAACAAAATATCTGTTTCAGCGCAAACAAGAGCTCTCATGAAAATTCTTTGTTGGTTAGTGTAATCTAAAAGACATAATGAAAAGGGACATTAATTTAAATTTAAGAAAAAGGCTGCACCCAATTTAATATGGCAATTGCTGTTGTGTGGGTCAGAAGTGTGGTCAATCAGCAGACACCAGAAAGAGGTCTTTGAAATGTGGCGTTAGAGCCGAATGCTAAGAATAAGCTACTCTGACAGGAAAACAAATGAAGAAGCATTAAGATTAGCAAAAAATTCAAGAGAAATACTTGAAATGTACAGGAAAAGAAAAATGAGATGCCTTGCTCATATAACTAAGGATGAGGGCTAGTAGAAAACAGAGACTGGGATGGATGAATGAATTTAAAACTGGGTCCCTAGAGAGTTACAAAACCCTAGACTCTAGACTCGAGGATTGGTTAAAGCAGCCCGAAAATGATTAGAGTAGAGGACTGTGTTTGCCAACCCTCAGATATGAGGACGGTACTCTGACATGTGAAATAGCGTTGTAGTAATAGAATAAACACATGAGTGAATGTATAGTAGTCTTGTAACAATGGAACTGATTGGTGGAAAAGATTCCTGGACGTAATTCCGCTTGGCAATAACGATAAATAGATGCTGGAATATAAACTCATTATAGTAACATATATATAAGGGCTTCTAATAAGGAAGAATACCAATGTGAGTGATAAGGCTTTAAAAATAAAACAAATATGAGGACACTGGTGTCGCTACAAAATAATGTATTTGGTAAACCATCCAAAGGATCATAAACTGATAAAAGTCTCCATAAATCGTGTCCTATTATTTGTAATCCACTTCGAAAATCAGTACTTAGTTGGATTCCTATTGCCATTCATATCCAATAGTTCTATATAAGCAGCATATATGCCCATATTCATTTTCATTGAGATAGTTTACTAATTAGCTCCAAAGCAGCATCCATCACCTCGACCAAGTTGTCCCATATAGATGAATTTCTCAACTTCTGTTCACTATCATGCTTGACTTATCCATTCCTCACCCAATTTAATTACCGAAAAAAAAGGCAACACATTCCAATTCACTCCCCATTCAGGTCCGATGTTACAGAATCTACACATTTACAGCAGTAAGAGTGTAGTGTTGTTTGACTGTCGTATTTGTACTCAAGGCGTTATGGTGTGCTATATGGCGTCCTGGGCTGTGAACCGGAAGGGGCCCGGTATGTTCGATGTAGAAGACGTTGATCCTGCATCTGCACTCACCTTATTTATGCTTTTAACCGCCTCAACACTACTGGGGAGATTCAAGTAAGTGATGATGTGTAAAATATTTGGAACTGGATGTTATAACTCTTTTTTTATTAATTTGTTCTCTATATATTGTCATTTTATGTTTAATCGTACATATACTGAAGGCAGTACATTATTAAAGATACTTCTTTGATTTGTTACAAAAAGTTATAATACTTGTGTATTAGCCCCAGTCTCATGGCAATAACAATTATATAAATTTGGGTTAATACATTTAGTTTATATAATCCAATACCCACGGTAATTTTCCATTAAGCTGTGAGCTTCATATGCTGTTCACGTGAGATTATATCAGTGGGCCGACGCAGAATGTAGGGTTAGCCCAGTGGGTGTGTCATACAAGGGAAGATCAGCTAAAACTAATGCCCCATCACTTTTTTGGTAGATTTTAGTGTATATAAACAGAAAATAATTTCAGTTTCAATATTTTGCAACCTTTTGCTAGGTAAATTTTAGCGTGAAATTTATCGAAAATCTAACGTACAGCTGCATTAGTGCATTACAATTAAATCGTGAACATTGCTTTCTGACTTCATTCTTTAATAACCCAACTAACAATATTATTTTCTGTTTCAGATTCTGATGCATTTATAAGTTGATAATATTTGCGATGGCTGCTTGTGTCAGGACGAGGAACCAAAAATCCAGCCATCTCAGTCACTATCTTGGGTCTGGGAGAGAGCTCCTGAAGTCGGAGTTGCCTACATTGAGAGATGCTTTGAGATACGGTGTTTTAATCAGGCAAATCAGTGAAAAGAACCAAAGAACACTGAAACAAAGACATTGCCAGTGATATGACCAAAGCTGTCTTGGCACAGTACACTCTGGCTAATGCTCAGTTCAAGCCTCCAGTCATAACAAGTCAGAAGAAGATTAGTGAGAGACTGCTAGCCAGTTGGGAAAAGGCAAGAGATATCTCTCTTGAGAGAGGAAAACTTGCAGTTAAGGACAGCTTTGCCAAACAACTGGACCAGTTATTTGACATAATTACTTGCAAGTGCCCAATTGTTCTCTGTCCTGAGTTTGGATGCGATCGTGACTGTAAATCCGAGGCCCACATCTCCTGTATTTGCAAGCGTGAACTGAAGATTCCTGTGATCGAACTGGCATTTGTCAAAGCACAGAGAGAGAAGACTGGCAGTATAGGGGCTCTCATGATTTCTAGCCAAGATATTCCGGAGTCCAAGAGACAGGAGGCTGCCACAGAGAGACAGAAGAGGAGAAGAGTTGCCGAGGAAAAGAGACTTGAGAAGGCCCAGGGTGAGGTAAAAAAGGCCGATGATTGGAGTCACGCTGATTCAGAGTTTAATGACTTCCCCATGGCTGATCCGAGTGCTGACCAGGAGAATGGTGACTTTGTCCCTAACCCAGAAAATAATAATCCCAAACCTTCCAGGCATAAGATTCGAAATAGGAAAGATATCCCGAGCATAGCTCTGGCCAGCATGCGACACCACACTGGTCTCAGAGAAACTGCAGAGATAGCAACAGCTGCCTGGGTTGACGGTGGTTTGATAACACCTGATGATGTTCACCTGGTGATAGATCATAACAAAGTAAGGAGAGCTCAGGAGAAACTTGTCAGTAACCTAGAAGAGGAGTTTGATAAAGGGATAAGAGAAATGGAATCAATTGTCAGAGCCCTTGATGGGAGAAGGATGACACTAAAGTGTTCATGAAAGTTGGAGATTCTGGAAGGTTGTTCCTGCCAAGGGTGGAAGGGAGGGAAACATTACTCCTGCTGCAGGAACCAACAGGAGGGAATTATTTACAGGCATTTCACCCAGAGAAAGATGACATCAGGAAACCAGCGCTGAGATAGTGGCAGATAACATTGTGAACTGCTCAGAGAGAGAACGTAGACCAGACCCTGCAGGCCATTGAGGACAGCACCAACACGAACACAGGGTGGCAAGGGGGGTCATACAGTGGATAGGGCGGAAGATTGGGAGGAAGCTGGTCTGGATTGTTTGTGACCTCCACACCAACGAGTTGCCACTCAGACATCTGATCCAGGAGCTGGATGGCAAGACTCTTTCAAACAACAGATGGTCTGGTCCTCTTGGCAAGATGCTGGACTCTGCCACTGAGTTAGAAATAAATCCGAGCTTTGAAAAAATCACAGTTGGCCCTCCATTTCGTTGAGCTTGCACATACTGTCATTGACGACCTGAGTACTGACCAGTACTATGGTTACATGATTTGCAGTGCCATCAAACTGGGGTCATGCCTGATAGACTTGGTTACCTGCAGATAGGTCCAGTCTCACATTCTAGGTGGCTCACAACGGCTCTCAGGTTCTGCAGAATTTGGGTCGCTCATCATAAACTGAAAGGGAACCAGCTTCACAACCTGAGACTTATTGTCCAATTCATCGTGAGTGTCTACTTGCCAAATTGGTTCAACACCAAGGTCAAGTCATCGTTCTCCGAAGGTCCGAGGCATGTTTTCTTCCAGCTTGAGCTCCTGAGGAGTCAGCCAAGGAAGGTTGTTCAGATTGTGGAGCAGACTGTGAGGAGATCTTCCTGGTATGCTCATCCCGAGGCAGTTCTGCAGACAATGCTCTACAGTAAGGATGAGGAGGAGAGAAGAGTGGCAGTCAAAAAGATCTTGGATATGAGACTTATGAGAGGATCTGGGCATGACGAATCAGTTGGTGACGATTCCTTCAGGGTCAGGAAGACTCCTGAAGTCAATCTAGGTGCCAAGACCCTCACTGATCTCATAGATCTGGATAACATCCAGGCTGGTAGTGAGCCCCCTCTTACCTGCAGCCTCACCAATGTTCAAGTCAGAGCTTTCCTGGACAACCCCATGCATGTCCCTGCCTGGCCCTCGCACACCCAGAGTATAGAGCGTTGTGTACAGCAAGTGAGAGAGACCAGCAGTCACGTGTACAGCCAGGAGAGGAGGGAAGGCTACATCCGAGCTCAGGTGGTCAGCAGGGAGGTGATGAGTAGAAACAGAAGCAAGAAAGACATGTTCTCTATGGTGTGTAGCAACACCGGGTCTTAGTAGTAAAACCGGTTTTTGTATTTGATGATTTTGTTTTCTAAAGGAATATTAAATTTAATAAATGTGTCAAGATCATTCGTTTCACTATTCTGGATCATTTTCATCCTAATAAATTAACCTGATACATTTACTTTACTTTAAATAAGCTATTTAGTGGTGTTGGTAAAAGGGTGGGAATACTGAATTTTCATAAGATTTCAAGTTAAAATTTACCTAGCAAAAAATGAAAACTTTTCAAATCTGAAGATATCACATGATTCTGCACATAGAACTACATCATTAATACCATGGGCCGATTTTTCAAACTAAAAAAAAAAAAATTCGCCTCCGTATGACACACCCTATTAGCCCAGCCCCTCCTTCAGAGCCTCCCCTCACGGCACCCAGTCCTCACTTGAAGCTCAAGAGAAGCGGACGGGTGACCTAAGTAAGTCACGCTGAGCCCCGTCCTTAACTAACACCCACAGCTTACAGTGTTAATTGCGGTGCATCTACTAATAGACTATGACCAATATAGTTTTACCAATAAATGGAAAAAAGACCATTTGGGGTTTGTAACTTAACCACTCAACTTATTTATATATAAGCCAAGTTAAAGGGAACTCTACCCAAAGCTTATATACTTGTACAAATACATTGTCCTTTTCAGGTAAACGATCCGCTCCGTGACCTCTGTGACAACGGTGGAGAGTGTGCCTACAATAGATTCACTGCCCTGAAAAAGCAGAACCCCGAGTTGAAAACACTCCTAGCAGTCGGGGGCTGGGGCGACGGCTCTGAAAAATACTCTAAGGTCAGTTAAATAGAAAGCACCCGATTATATAAACCAGTAACACTTTATGAATAAGAAGAATAGATTTTGAGAATAATCTTACTGTCGTCTTATCCACTTAGATGGCTGCAGATCCTGCCATGAGAAAGAAGTTCATCGACTCTACCATGGCACTACTGAAGGAACATGATTTCGATGGTATGGACCTGGACTGGGAGTACCCAACAATGCGTGGCGGGACACCTGAAGATAAAGTATGCTGCTTTGTTTATGGAACAGTTTCACTCATCTTGTTTTCTTGTTTCCCATGTGGTTATCAGCATATACATGCATATACAGCATATATATATATATGTGTGTGTGTGTGTGTGTGTATTTGTAATATATATAAAAACAATACCTCACATAGTAGGCACGGGCAATCCACGGAGGCGGCTCGCGTTGCTTAAGAATAAGACGAATGAGCAGGCTTTGTGTAAAATAAAACTTAGCTTAGGATTTCCTTCGTTGCAAGTGTGGTGCCGTGGTAGCGATCCGTGGTAACAAGCGGAGATCCAGGGTTCGATTCCTCATTGATGAGGTATTGTTTGTATTTTGTAATCTGCGTATATATGGACTGTCGAGATATATAAATATATTAGGCATGACCACTAAATTGTCATACCATTTTATGTGCCACAACACCACCCTCTGAAGGTACAGTTGGACTATTCCAAATATTACAGTCAACGTTGTCAAACCGTGAGGTATGAACTCCGAGAGTATCGATTCTGAATCCGAAGCATTCAGGGGTGAAGGGGAGAGGTGGTCCGAGAAGGGAACTGTCCGCCAAGGTGATAGGAAGTGCTGTTGCGTCTCAACTTTTAACAGGTGGTCTAGTCCAAACATCTTCTTATGTGTAGCTGTAGTTTGAATCCATTTAGATTTACCAGTCCCATGGTTCATACATTTTAGCAATTTTAAGAAAATAATATTATCAGAATCACCGAGCAAAAGCCTCAAGGCTATCATGAGGTTGAGTTCAATTGTTCAATCTTTGGCACTGGGTATACCTAGCTCTTTCCTCATATTAAGTACTAGTCTCATGGGACAGCCAAGTATAGTTCTGAGGGCTTTATTTTGCAGTTTTTAGTGCTTGTCAATACCTTTCCCGTCACGAAGGTACGTGGTAATCTATCAGAGATATCTTATATAGCCTAGGTACATTGTTTTAATTATTCTAATATTAGCACCCTAATGCGGGCAGTTCCCCTCTACACTTCTAAAAGGTTTCAGTCTGTCAGTAGATTGGCTGGCTAGCTGTTGTATGGCAGTACATTGGCAGGCTAACTGTTGAATAGAATTGAATTGAATTGATTTGAAACAGTTTATTTAAACAGAAAAACACAGATACAGAGTGGATGGTAATAATAATATTAACATGGCTGAGCCAGTTGAGAGCCTGAGCTCTCTTTTAGGTACCTGATATATACTATACATTTACCTCAAGGCAATATTATGTAACATTTAGTTTAATCTGGAATAGTACAATAGCATGGTGGATAATAAGAACATCTCATAATGTTACCACGGTTATCACTTCAATATTTGTTAATTTTATTTATATATAATTATTTTTTTTACTTTATTTTTTATTTATTTACATATACATAAATTCCAGTGGAATTGAAAAACATAAGTATAATGGGGGAGCAGTACAACATCAAATTTGTGGGCAATACTGTAGAAGATAAACCCTGATCTAAAAAGGTAACTAGATGAAGGGGAATACTGCTGATGTTATGGCTAATCAAGGAGAAGGAATAAGGTAGGAGAAGACTAGAACTAAACTCGGGAGAGTCAGGAACGTAATAGTTACAGTTTGGGTTGGTGTAACCCAGTGAGTTTTGTAGAAAGGCATGAGGATCGACATGAGGGAGTATTGTGTCGACACCATGGGTAAATGGGGTGTAACACATACGATCTAGCACATCTAAGGGAATGACACTAGCATCATCATTGTGGGAACATTAATACTGATTAAGGAACAGTAAGAACTCTGGGTCACTGAGGTGTGAAAAAGGAAGATCTAAGAAAATTATAATAGTGGTGGAGGGGGGGTAACGTACTCACAAGTGCTACAACCAACAGAATTAGGATGACCGGTACTGTTGAGGGTGATTCCCAGATCGAGAGGGAGGTGCGCCTGTCCGTTGGACTTCCATTATCACATCAGTCAGCTGTTGTTTCGTGAAATTTGAATTATTGATACTAGCAACCAACATAGACATATTGGAGCTAGTGAGGGCTGAGTAGCTGGCAGTATGGAGACGGTCGAGTTTATGATCAACTGGGTGGCCTGGTGGGACGATGGGGGAGTGTAGACGGTGGGGGTGGACAGGGCTCAGATTACAAGCCGTGGCACTGAGGGGAGCTTGGTGGGCCTACACCTCACTTCGTAGACACAGATTAAACAGTAAATTGACAAATATATCTACTTATGGGGATCACAGATAGATATTGTACTGGTCACGACACTCACTAGTCACTCACGAATCAGATTTCCTAGAAATCAGACTGGGAACTCCTGGAAAGACCCTGTTTTTCGACGAAAAACACGGAGCTCCCACACACACACGTTGTATGGCAGGTAAGGTACAAGAAATGGAGACACCAGAGATATTTAAAAGAAAAGACATAGTCAATAGTGTTGTTACCTATCTTGAACCGCGTTTGCGGTTACCATCTTGTTTGTTAAAGACTTTAGTTTCCTCAGGGAAAATTACAAGACAGAGGTTCTCACAAGTTGCGTGTACATGGTTCAGGGTTGTTTGCATTTCACAATGAGTTTTAATATGTACAAGAATATCATCAGCATTGCTGATTGTGATATTACTGGGGTTGTCTGGTATTGAATTTAATAGTTCATTCATAAGAACATTGACCAGAGTAGGACTAAGTAGTTCACCTGCATAACTTTTGTAACCCTGAAACAGTGCAGTAGACCTTCTGTTAGTGAGGTAGCCACTTATCCAGTGTAACAGCCGAATTCCTATATCCATTCTGGCTAGTTCGTAGAATATAACTTGCCTATTGGCAATATCAAATTCAGCTTTTAGGTCAAGAAATGTGGTGTATCTGTGTCTTTCATTACCATGTACAGTTAAAAGTGTGGTGATGCAATTATGTACACCTTTACCATGAGTGAAGCCATTTATGTTAAGAGACAATGTGTTCTTTGATTCTGTATGAAAGTCTGCCAAGAACCAATCTTTCAGAGGTTTTACAAAGATAGCTGGTTAGTGATATGGAACGAAAAGCATCAGGCTGTCCTGGTTTCGGTATTGGCACAATAATACTGTTGGTCCATGATGTGGGTAGTTGGCTGGTACGGGGGATCACTGGGGTCGGTGTGTGAGTGGGTTACTGGTTATGAGGGTTGAGGAGGGTGTTCGGGCTAGAGAGATGGGAGAGGTTTAAGGAGTTAGTGCAGTTACAATGTACTGTAGTATGTATTTAGTAAGGATATAAATACGTTAGGCTAAACACAAATTATGCTTAGAATGTTTTACCGTATATTAGGGTGATATTCCCAGCTTGTGCTACAGGTCTGTGCAATATATGTATATTTATTTATATATTTATTTACCTGTATTTTTTTATGCAACTCTCATGTAATTTAGGGGCGATAGGAGGGCGGGCTGGAGTCTTACCCTGACTTGCAAGACCCAATAAATAACGGATGTATTTGATTCTATTTACATTAGCATAAATTAATTATATTATGTAATTGGAAATAAAAACACAGCGAAGAAGTTATCAAATTGCGTTAATTATAAATTGCATTGTATGAATGGCAATGCTAAGTCAGCAAGAAGATTCAACGAGCATTATGAACACGGCAGCCGAAGTGTTAACGAGTTTGTGACAATGATTATTTGATTGATTATCTCATTTGGCTTTCACCTCAAAGCAACGTGATATTATTTTTCTTATTACATGTCAGAGCAACGTTGATGTTTTACATGCTTCTTAGTTTACATAATTATGCTTTCATAATTTGATTGATGTAGTATGGGTGTTTATCACATTGTACACCTAACTACTGTAGCTTACCAAGTATAATGAAAGAATATTCTAGTCTTCACTGATAATAAGGTGGTGTAATTTAGACGGAGCAATAGGTGTATAGGGAGTAGGGTGTGTCATAGGAGGGAAGATCAGCTAAAACTAATGGCCCATCACTTTTTTGGTAGATTTTAGTGTATATAAACAGAAAATAATTTCAGTTTCAATATTTTGCAACCTTTTGCTAGGTAAATTTTAGCGTGAAATTTATCGAAAATCTAACGTACAGCTGCATTAGTGCATTACAATTAAATAGTGAACATTGCTTTCTGACTTCATTCTTTAACAACCCAACTAACAATATTTTTTTCTGTTTCAGATTCTGATGCATTTATAAGTTGATAATATTTGCGATGGCTGCTTGTGTCAGGACGAGGAACCAAAAATCCAGCCATCTCAGTCACTATCTTGGGTCTGGGAGAGAGCTCCTGAAGTCGGAGTTGCCTACATTGAGAGATGCTTTGAGATACGGTGTTTTAATCAGGCAAATTAGTGAAAAGAACCAAAGAACTTACACAAACAAAGACATTGCCAGTGATATGACCAAAGCTGTCTTGGCACAGTACACTCTGGCTAACGCTCAGTTCAAGCCTCCAGTCATAACAAGTCAGAAGAAGATTAGTGAGAGACTGCTAGCCAGTTGGGAAAAGGCAAGAGATATCTCTCTTGGGAGAGGAAAACTTGCAGTTAAGGACAGCTTTGCCAAGCAACTGGACCAGTTATTTGACATACTTACTTGCAAGTGCCTAATTGTTCTCTGTCCTGAGTTTGGATGCGATCGTGACTGCAAATCCGAGGCCCACATCTCCTGTATTTGCAAGCGTGAACTGAAGATTCCTGTGATCGAACTGGCATTTGTCAAAGCACAGAGAGAGAAGACTGGCAGTATAGGGGCTCTCATGATTTCTAGCCAAGATATTCCGGAGTCCAAGAGACAGGAGGCTGCCACAGAGAGACAGAAGAGGAGAAGAGTTGCCGAGGAAAAGAGACTTGAGAAGGCTCAGGGTGAGGTAAAAAAGGCCGATGATTGGAGTCAAGCTGATTCAGAGTTTAACGACTTCCCCATGGCTGATCCGAGTGCTGACCAGGAGAATGGTGACTTTGTCCCTAACCCAGAAAATAATGATCCCAAACCTTCCAGGCATAA